ATTAGTGACTGCTACATAATTAGTCACAGTTTCCAAAGTCACAGTCAAAGACCATAAGGTGTATTTATAAGTTTTTGGTGACTAATTGCTGCTCCATTTCCTGATGAGAATAATTAGGTGTGACTCATACTGTGCATAGAGATCAACTTTGAGTCGATGAAATACTATGTGAACTTTGCTTTCGCTTTGCAGGTGAAATAACTGGATTGTTTTATGACATACCACTGACATAACAGGTTTTTAGAGATTAGGGGTGGCCCTACATTCCACACTGACAACATGGCCTATTTATAATGTTATCGGCTTACTGGTTCACATTAACAGAACTTTTTGTACAAGCTGATGTATCCAACGGTAGACTTTTACAAGGCTTTTACAAAGCAGAGATGCAACATGTTGACTACACACAGACACAGACAGAGGGGGAAACTGGCATACACACATTGTTACATGGTCAGATATGTAAGGTAACTGGGACAGAAGAGGAAGAAGCAAGTTTCAGTCCATCCGGTCTGTAACATTTTCAGGTGTGAGGCTGGTATTTCAAACTGGATGACATCCTAAACTATCAACACACACAGCTTGGATTGCACAGTGATAAGATGTATAGAAGACTGTTGTGCACGATTATGATGTACTGTGTGAAATGATTTGGACAAATGGGTAGAGCAGCATAGATACTATACAGCTGAATATCAGTATAATGGAAAAAGTGACAGACATAATAAAGCAAAGACACATATATGCTACATATTCATGATGCGTTTACTACTGTAGAACATAATGTTAGTCATACATTTTTACCTTCTGCCATAACATGATTTACTGATTCCTACAATCAGTTCTGTTAGCCCAGGGGTCGGCAACCTGCGGCTCTTTAGTCCTTATAGTGCGGCTCCGCATGGTTTGGGAAAATAAATTAGAAGGGCAAATAGAAGTATTTAGCTGAAGTGTATTTTATTTATGTTAGTTCTTTTTTTAACTTGTAGTTCTAAATTAGAAGATTATTGTGATATTGAAATATAAAAATAAAATTATATTTTATTATTTTTTCATCATTCAAAATAAGCGTCACACTCGCGGAAGCCGGTGTACCCGCCGAAACGCCGTGCATTTATCAAGACTTTCAACCCCTGGGCCCTATTTCAGGAAGCCGGTTTAGTGCAAACTCTGAGTAAGTATACCCTGAGTTAACGAAAACTCTGGGTTTTTGGTTTCACAAAGCGAGTTTAGATTAATTCTGAGTGAGTTACTATGACGACACACTCCGTGAAGCTAACCTGCCCCCTAGCAGGTTTACTTCAACTAACCCTGACGTTCTCCGCATCTTTGTCGGAAACCTGACTGTAGGAAGTGTCAGACATGGCGTGTCCCTTCCTTGAAGAGCCAGTAGATGTTGAAGCCCAAATTCTCCGCAGAGCTCTCCGCCGGGAGAGAGTGATTAGAGCGCGTTTGGACATTTTATCATTTCCTGATGATCTCCTGTGTGAACGTTACCGTTTTTCAGCACAATCTACAATTTATTTGAATAACATCCTCAGGCCTAATATTGCTCATGTGACACATCGTGGACATCCTCTCAGTTCTGTACATATTATTTGTATCGCACTTCGGTTTTTTGCAAACGCGAGCTTTCTGTATAATATTGGTGACGCTGAGCACGTTTCCAAGGCTACTGTCTGTCGGGCAGTCAGGAATGTTACAGTTGCACTGAAACGTCTCCTGTACTCGTTTGTGGTGTTCCCCGGTCATAGACCCACAAGATTTATCAAAGAGGGATTCCACAAAACTGCAGGTATCAGGATGAACGAAACTTAATTCATGATGTGGTGATACTTGAACTACTACTTAAATTTTACATTTATTCTCACGGTTCCCAGGCGTGATTGGCTGTATAGATGGCACTCACATTCCAATCATTGCTCCTTCAGTAAATGAAGGAGACTATGTGAACAGGAAGTCTTTCCACAGCATTAATGTACAGTACATAGTTTGAAATGCTACAGGGAACTAACAAATTATTTCATTATTAGTAATGGATGCTAATTTGTGTTCTTTGCACTGTGAAGATCATATGTGATGCTGCCAACATTATCACAAATGTGGAAGCCAAGTGGCCAGGCTTTGTGAGTGGTGGTGGTGGAGGACCCCCACCTGTTTTTCGGGCCTCCGCTTTTTTTCTAGTGGCCATAACGGGTCACATTTGAGCATACAGAGTAAGCAAATATGTACTTGTAATGCTCAGATAATTTCAATAAGTGCTTACAGAGGGGAAATTAATGTAGCCTCTAACTGCAATTGATTTACATCGGACAAACAGACCAAGCACTATGGCTCATAATACAATTACACCTTACCTGTTTGGACTATATTTTTATATTTCATTTTTACTTGCTGCCAGGAACGTTTGGGGCCTGTTGGGTTGCACCTGCGCTCACATCACATCACAAAATAAAATGTATGAAATAAAAAAAATATATATATATAATAAAATAACGTGTTAAATGGGTGGAAATCCCTAGATCAATGTTTAAATTAACACTCACGCATTGACTCTGTCGGCTATGTTTTGCCATGCATGCTCCCTTTCTTTTGCAGCTGAGGCTGTGTTACTTTTTTCTGCAAAATTTGCATGTTATCGGCATATGCTGCCATCAGAATTTCGGCCTCAAGCGCTGTAAAATACATTGACCGCGCCTTCTTTCCCTCCGTCTCCATGGTGACTCGCTTAATCTGTGCTCCACTAATCAGGGCTTTATGTATCCTCCTGCGCGCGCTTAATTTGGGGTTAAAGCAACTCCGCGCTGATTGAACTAATTGTTATCAGTCTTTCTGAAACCGAATATTCCGAGTTGGACAGTTCGGGGTTACTCAACCCTGAGTATCGTTTTTCACTCTGAGTTTTCTAAACCGGCTTCCTGAAATAGGGCCCAGGTAGGCCAATTATGGATCCACATTATGTCAGCAGGTGTTCTCCATCGTGAACTATGTTAAAAACAAACGCCGCTCACGCCTCACAGATGACAGCTTACAGTCCTGCATAAAGATGAAAGTGACTTCGTACAGCCCCGATTTGCAGACGCTGTGCGCAGAGGTTCAGGAGCAGAAGTCCCATTGTAAACATATCACGGCAGACCCGATGATGTTTCCATGAACACGCTTTTCAGCATCTCTTTATTGACCACTTTTCACACACGGTTGCTGTACGCATACGCTGTAGCTTTTCAGATCACAGCCCGACACACACCAACACAACAGCATAGATAGCACAGACGTTAAGGCGGTGAGGCGTGATTGTGGGTGCCGCTCAGGTGCGTCCGCCTCCCCTGCAGTGGCGCTGCAGACCACGCCCCGCCACACACATTAACCAGGTAAAATACATATTTAGGCTGAATTTTAGTGTTCTTTTCTTCAATAATTTTTTAAAAGCCAGGTCAAGGCTCCAAAAGCCCAAAGGTGATATGAGGGTGGCAGCTCACAGCAGTTTTTGTTCACTACTTGGATCATTTTCGTTCAGCTGGGTGTCTTTCCTTTTGTTATATTTCTTTAAGAGTTCAAAATGTGTTAATTACATAAATAAAATGTAATTTTCTCTGTAGAACTTCATGGATTTCATAAGCAACAAACCTTAGTTGTTCACACAAAGCATAAAGGTAAAAAACAATATATACAGTGTTATCTTCATTTTAGATGTCAAAAAGTATTTGCGGCTCCCAGTGTTTTCTTTTGCGTGGAAACCAGGTCCAAATGGCTCTTTGGGTGTTAAAGGTTGCTGACCCCTGTGTTAGCCATTATACAGAAGTTAGTATCATGACGCTTTTCTTTCCAAGCTCCTTATACTATCATGAATAAAGTTAACTGGTGAAATGATTTGGCAAACTAGCATTTCTTTTAGACTAAATTTAGTTAAAGGAGGACATAGTCAGCCAGCTGCTGTAACAAATCTGATGATGTTCATAATTTGAGCTGATAAAGTCATTTAAAAAGCACCAAACAAGTTATCAATCAATCAATCAATTAACTGACCTCTACTCAGCAAACTATATAGAAGATAGCTTATAATTTTGCTGTATTAGCAGGGACACTAATAAGAGCTGGGAGAATAAAAAAAAAAAAAACAAAAGTTGTTTTTGTATCTGATACATCAAAATACAATTGACAGTCAAATGTACTGTCTTTTATAGTCTATCCAAGACAAATGTTAATGCAGGGCATGAACAGTTCCTGTGTTCTATATGTGAAAGCACTGCTGATGACTGAAGATCAGATTCTGATTTAAAGTAAAAAACTTTTCAAATGAGGACTAGAATACCCCAAAGAGTTTACCTGGAGCCGAGCTTTGATCCTGTTCTAGTCTGGATGGAGAAACACAGAGTACTATTTTTCTTCCTTTTACATGTGAGCTGTTGACAAATCTGAGAGTGGTTTCAAAAACAAAGCTTTAACTGAGAAATCTAACACTCTTTCTCAGCACCACGTTGCTTTGTTGCTCCATTTTAGTGATGATTATACAACCTTTTACTTAATGCAGGAAGCATATGACATTTCCACCAACCTGATGTGGTTTGGGTTGCAGTCAAAACCTCACAGCTTTCCTGTTGCAGTGTATATGCACTCACCTTTGTCACTGAAACTTAATCTGATCCCTGAACATGGCCCTAATTTCAGTGGCCAGCTGCAGCAGAGATCCCACAGTTTACTTTCTGACAAAAGATGTGACAGTGGAGCATTATGCAGGATGCACTGTCTCTAATTTTCCATAGCTTTTAACACAACACTGTCAAGCCCGGGCAAGAGAAAACATTTGAGGGGAAAAAAAAGGCACACTGTCTCTGTACACCATCTTATAGCAAACCAGTGACTGACTGCAATTTCCTCTAGTGTAACCAGCAAATACTGAAAATCCACCCATTCGATCCATCTCTGTATGCAAGCAAAAGGACCACACACAAGCTTTCAAATGGCAGAGTGAAAGAAGAAAAATGCTGTGCATTACTTACTCTTTGCAGGTGCTGGAGACATGAGGTGGTACAGTGTATTTACAGTCCATGATCATGGTGAGGGTCTCACTGTCGTTAGCTTCCTGGAAGGGTGGCTGGCCACAAACCAACATGAACAGTATCACACCAAGACTCCAGATATCTGAGGAAGAGAAAGACACGAGGTCAGACTTAGGACTGGGTGACATTTATCATGGTATTAACAGGTGAAATATTACGAGGACATTTATTAACACATCAATTTCTCAGACACAAATATGGCTGTATGATCCACAGATGTGTCAAATGTATTGTTAAACTATATCTGTCCTCTCGGACTGAATCCAAGGCTGAATAATCACACAAAACCTAGTTACGACATCATGATATGGATTATATTTAAAAACTAAGTGCAGGTGGAAGGTCAGAAAGTGGAGAAGTTGAAGCATGTGAAAGAGGGGGGGAAAAAAAACCCTCTATCTGTACCAAGTCTAAACAGAGACTGTGGCGTGCCAGTGTTTTCATCTAGCACATCTGTAGTGTATTTGTTGAAAAATGCTACAGAGACATTAAAAACCAATGACATGCTGATCCTGTTGTTCAGCCATCGTCCCTAATTAACATTGCTTCAAATAATTCTCCAGTGTGGAAGACATCTCATTTTACAAGCGTATTTTCCCCTTGATCTCTCCACCCTCTTACGTCATGAGAAAAGATGACTGCAATGGAAACGATGCCACTGATCGGAAACAAGCAGACAATTAAAGGAACTAAGATGTTCTCAGCCAGTGTGGTAAACAACAGTGATGGATAGAAGTGTGAGAAGTACAGTAAAGTCTTCCTCCAAGGCCTTTTGACCTGTCGTCTCCACACGTTATACAACTTATACTTCTGTATAACTTTGTACAAAGATAGCAGTCAGTTTTTTTGAGTGTAATTCCACCATTTAAGAACAACAAATGCTTTATAAGACCTCAGTAAATTTAAATCAAAACCAAGCAATGTCCAAATGATGCAAACAAACCATAAAACCATAAAGAAACCAACTATCTGCTTACCCATATCTATATCGCCATCAATCCATCTATCCATTCTTATATCTCTAATATAAATAAATAATTTCCCTTTGCTGCTGATTGGCACTATGGAGGCAGAAGCAGGATAACAGCCATCTCTCGCTTTCACCTCTCTCCTAGACATTTCTAATCAGCATGTTTGACTGCCTTATTTCCTCTTACTGTATGCTATTAGGTATTAATAGAACATAACCACATTATTTTATTAACACCCCCTAGTGTCCCGGCCCATGTAACTACACCCTGTACTGGATAATGCAAGACAATTTAAAACTGCATTTTCTCAATTGCAATTTAAATCCTAATTTTCTCTGGTTTGCTTGCATAAAACAAAATGTCACTGAAACCCAAAACAAGCTCATGTTCAATGTTCTCAAGCAACAGTGCACGTGTGCTAACAGCATAATCAAAGTCATGTTAATTCATCTATGCATATGCTTATTCAAGTGTACAAATTTGCACTTGCTAGTTGCACCGAGTGAAAGCAAACTGTCAGCATGCAGAAGCACCGGTCCATACACACTTTATGCAACTAAAGACACATTCATGCACACATACACACAGCCTTTGGTTCACTAGTCAAGGACGAGAAACAGCCTCGAATAGAGAGCTAGGACAATAAACCTTGTCCTGTCGCTCCGTATAGTACGGTATGTTCTCAACTTTGTTTGGCACACATAGAGGCAGATGTTTGAGCCAAGTTCATTACACACATACAGTATTTATACTGCATGTCCTGCCATGCCCGTATAAACACATGCAAAGCTTTGGGCATTAATGTGTAACATTTTCATCACTTAGCAGAGAAACAGGGCCAACTTAGGCTGAAGAGCGAGGGAGACATCACAGAATCTCTAATCAAATATTGGCAGCCCTAAAGTAATTACCATGATGAGGATTTTTAAGTAAGTTTCTAATTAAGCTCAAACACATAGTTGCCCTCAATACCAAATGGTTTGGCAGAGTGGAGCCTTGATGATGTGCTAGAGAAAATGCCAGATAGTAAAATTAAAAAAAAAATCCCCAACAAAAACTATTTTTGGAGGAAAAAAAGATGACAACTCAAACTGATTCTAAAATGTTTTTAACTCAAACGGACAGCCGTGAGTTGTTGCATCTTGAGACTCAGCTTTGCTGGGCTACTATCAGCACTCCAGATTTGGCCTTAGGCTAGGGAGTGCTGTGTATAATTAAACTAACCAAATGGCCGTACAGAGAGGGCCGAGTGCCTTTAAGAGGAACTTTCTGAAGAAACAGCTTGCCTGATTGAATACTGAGTCTAATTATTGTGGTATGCATTTTGATACCATCCATCACATTTGATTTCAGGAGCCATCCATGGCTCTCTCCCAGCTCAGTGTGCGAGCAGCAGACAGCGGTGCAGTTGCAGGTTGTCTTATGAGAGTAGAGTCCCCACTGGGAGGGGCGGGGGGGGGGGGGGGGGGGGGGGGGGGGGGCCTCTGTAGCACTTCAGAGGATAATTCCTGTCTGACTTCCAGATGGCATTTGTTCTGAAAAAGTGATGTATCACCGAGCCACTGCTAAAGCCCAACAAATGGGGTGTTACAGGAACATTTCCCCTTAAAAAAAGCAAAAAAAAAATGCATCAGTGCAATTATTGTGTGTCTAAAACCATTTACAAAGTACCTGCAGTGGTTTGATTTGAAATGAGTTGTTTAACAGCTACTAGAGAAGCAGATCAAGCATTTTACTGGAGCCGTGTTAATGGACCAAAAAGCTGCCTGAGTATAAAGTGCTAAAACAATATGTACCTCTACATTATAAGCACCAAAGAGGTCTTCATCCCAAACGCTGAGGCTGATGTTGCACTCTGCTATAAAATATATCACAGCCTTAATGTGCCCACATCTGCAGTATGCTAGCGCCATAAAAGAGTTCCCTCTCAGCCTGTAGCAGTGTCTCCTCTTCTGCTGAAATATTAACAGGATATGGATGTGGAGAAAGTTCAGCTTGGTCTAACCTTGGTCGTAGAAGCTCACGTTTCGATGTACCAATTAGATCTCAACGTGCTGGCACACACACAGGATCAGAGGGATCCTTTATATGTTTTCCGTGTCAGTCCCTAAAAACCCCCCACAAAGATGACAGAAAATTCTCAGATTGCATTTCTTGAGGCCTAGTTCGTTTCCTTTGTTCACGATACCCATTTGGATTTTACATGGCAAGGATTATTAAAAAATGTTTTCACAATGAGTTTCCAATAGAGTATTTTATTTACTCTATCATTAATGACTAATGTGTTGGCTTCCTTGACTGACACGCTTGATCTACAGAAAAGCTACACCCCACTGCCATGAACCCCCACAAACACACACATACACACCTACTCGTAAGCCTTACACATGTGATATTTAATTCCCTCCATGTATGACATTACAGTGATGACAGTATACATTATTTTTGTCTTTCCCAAACCGTGTGCCAATGTGTTTCAAGACTGATTAAATAAACAGGTTGGCGTGCTTAGAAATACACTTCAGGTTTATTCAGGTGCTTGATCAGAGTATGTGGATTTGTCTTGTCAAAGTCAAAGCATGTCTAAACACCCAAAATTTGCTTCAGGAACTTGTTTAATTAGGCCCACTCTCTGAAAGATGTGAACTTTGTGAAATGTCAGCTGCTGCTGCTAGGCTGCAAAGCATACATATATTTTTTTCCTACCTATGAATGCTTCTCAAACTTAAGCTTGGATATTTCAGTAAGCATGAAAAGAGATTTCATTAGCCTTAAAATGAAGTTCTTACAAAGTAGTATTTTGTTCCTTCTCTCTCAGGAGTGCAGCATCTTTCTTGTAGTTACAGAGCATGAGAAGCCTTTAACACTGGTCACAATGAGCTTCAATAAATACTGAAAAACTACCTGAGTCAGAGCAATTTAGTATGCTCCTATTATGCTTTATTACTACCTTATTACAGTCTGACTCTCCAGGTGGTTTCTGTCTCCTGACAGAGGAGAGTTGATCTGTTCAAACAACTGAACCTTGAAATGACAGCTAAATTATACTGAAGAGAGTCACTTTTAGGGCTGCCACGATTTGTCAACTAGTCACGATTACGTCGACTATCAAAATCGTCGACGACTGATTTAATAGTCGACGTGTCGTTTGAAGCTTTGTAAGATCGCAAAAGACGCAGGAATAATAGCAGGATTTAAGAGTGTAATAACGGACTGAAACAGAAGATGGCAGCACAGCATGTACAAGGATGCCAGCTGCCGTTAAACCCCGAAGAAGAAGAAGCAGCTGTGTCCCAGAATTCATAGCGCGGCCCAGCTTAGTTTCCAACAATGGCGGTAGCTAGTTAGTTTTAATATTACTCTTATTATTCTTTCTGGGTCACAAAATAAACGTTTAACATATTTTCAGGCGAGAATGTAGCTGTGTAAACCTCAAATATCTGCTCAGTTTATCAGGACACCACATATTTTCAAAAGCGCTCCGACGTTTTCGGAGACGTCTGTTACCCACTAGCTCGATAGCTAGCCGGGGGCTAGGTCACTAGCGCCGTGAGAACACCGGACTCCCGGCAAATTGTTTTCAAACCCACCGCCGTCTTTCGCGACTCAGGTTAAATATATATGAGTCACTTAGATAAATTAAAAATGTTATTGTTTGGCTTTTTTTTAGTATTTTATTTGTTCCTGAGTAAATCGGTTTGGCTGAGATTAAAGTTATAGTTTTTACACAGCTGAATAAACGTCAAGCAGACAGCTGATTATCAGAAGTGTGAGATGCTGGAGAATATACTCCGGTGTCCTGTTATATTTTAGATAGCAAGGAGTTTATTAAACTTTACCGAAACAATCTGCAAATTTCATTAAAATTGAATAAACTATCATCTTGTCTTTATTTTTAGTTAGCACCTTAAAAGCTTAAAGCTGTAAGCTAATGATAGTTATATAAGAGCAGATGCTGCTGGTGCAATAAGCTGTAGTTTTACGTCCAGTGGATGATGATCTGATTAGTCGACTAATCGCATAAATAATCGGTGACTAGTCGACTATCAAAATAATCGTTTGTGGCAGCCCTAGTCACTTTGTTGATTTACTGTCAACCAGTGGTAAACAA